AGGGAAGCCCCTTCCCTTTGATCCCTCCCCCGCCGGGAGGGGGGGGGGGTAGCGACCCCCCCCCCCGGGTCAGATACGACGCCCCCCCCTGGGACTCCTCTTCCCCTGGGCTCCAGCCAAGCCGACCTTGAGCAACCTCGTAATTGAGTCGAAGGGAAGCCCCTTCCCTTTGATCCCTCCCCCGCCGGGAGGGGGGGGGGGTAGCGACCCCCCCCCCGGGTCAGATACGACGCCCCCCCCTGGGACTCCTCTTCCCCTGGGCTCCAGCCAAGCCGACCTTGAGCAACCTCGTAATCTCTTGCTGCGCATTGCGAACAGGGTCGGCGGCACCGGCCGTCAGGCCTTCGCAATCTGGATCATGCGCGGCCACCCCGCGATCACTGCCAAGTCGTTTTTGATAGGGACGGCGGGGGTAGTGGCGTATGGCCTGCTGTGCGCAGGCCCACCAGACACAACGATGGGCATTGGTCTCCGACAGTGATGGTGGGGGCCGATATGTTTTCTGATGTGTGCTGTCACGTGCGCAGGCGCACCTGACACACCCTGCACGTGCCCCGAACGTGGCGCACCTGGCGCGGCTGGAATGCAGCACACCTGGCGAACGCGGAAGCACGTGGCGCATCTGGCGTACCAGGCGTGCCTGGCACGCTCGGACCCTAGGGGTGCCTGGCGCACGTGGCGCGCCTGGCACGCGTGGCGCACCTCGCCCCAGCGTCGCGCGCATGGGCTAGGTTTTGGTTCTCAGTAGCTGTCCATCCAAAGACGACCCCTGAACATGCTGCGGCTGGGGTGCTATTTATGTGTTGGGAGGATGGGTGGCAGTAAGCTAGACGGCTTGCTATCTAGGGCATCTAAGGGGTGTCTTGATCACTGTTCCCTTTTGATATATATATATACACACACACACCCTCCCCCACCCGGCCGGCAGCCTACCCGGAACCATGATAACCCCATGAGGGCCACCCCACACCATCCCTGTCAACAAAAACCATACAAAACGCACTTTGCCTACATATTCGAAGCGTGCGCGGCCGCCCTGCGACCATTTTGTACTGGTATCTTGCAAGGACGGCTGGGGCGCCAGCAGATCCCACCTGCATTCTAGGCGCAGGTGGTCGACCAACTGGTTTGACACCTCAATGGCTGCTGCCTTTTCGCATTCATCTCCGATGGGCTTTCGAAACCTCCCAATGGCTCCAAAATTGGCCAAGAAAGCTTGAAGCCTGGCCCAAGAGGCTTCCAAACCCGTGGCGTCTGCGGCGTTCTTACGCGATATGCTGACATCCGGTTGGGAGGGTGGGCGGGAGTGAGCAAGACAGCTTGCGGGCGGGTGGGTAGCTTGACCCCTCCTCCTACCCTCTTCCCCTGGGTCTGGAAGGAGGGTCCGCGGGCCGTCGGAGCGTCCAAAACGGCCTCGACGCGAAGGCCAGATCATCAATGCGATTAAGGCTTTGGCTACATTTTGGCCTCCTGGGGGGGGGGCGCCGCTAGTTTACTACGGCCCATCCTTTGATCGACCTCCTTCAAGATGGCCCCATGATGGCCCCCGAGGCTCTCCTAAGAGGCCCCTTGGACTGCCAGGAGACCCCAGAGACGCCCCAAGAGGACTCCAAGAAGCTCTCCGAAGACATCCGAAGAGACTCCGAGAAGCATCCAAGAGGCCTCTGGCCTTTCTGCTCCTCCTCCTCCTCCTCCTCCTCCGTCCTCCTCCCTCTCCTCGTCTTCGTCCTCCTCCTCCTCGTCCTCGTCCTCGTCCTCCTCCTCCTTCTTCTCCTCCTCCTCCTCTTACTCATCCGCCTGTTCCTCCTCCTTCCTCCTCCCTCCCCCCCCTTTCCCTCCTCCTCCTCCTCCAATTCCTCCTCCAGCCTCCCCGTCTTGGGGTACGACGCTTGCCATCACCCGGGCAACTCCAACACAGGACCCATGAGGGGGCATCGGGAAGGAAACCATTCCCGGGGCGCGCCGAAGAACCCATGGGGGTCAGGCTTCCGCGGAAGAAAGAAATACATCCTTGGCGATGGGGTTTGGGCACGGGGGTCCACCCTGCCTAAAATTCGGAAGATGAATGAACTCTCAGCCGCAGGGGTGCTGGCGCACGGGGTCCCACCCCCCACAGCGCAACCAGAGGAAAAGCGCGAGAGCCCAGACTGTAAATGTCATGCAGCATCACTCTAGTAGTAGTTGTACTAAGGAGTATGCTGGTATTACTTGCACACGACTGTGTGTCCTATGTCCGAAATCGACATTATGTACAGTCTTCTAGTTTCGTGATCGCGATTGCATTACGCTTCCGTACCCCCGAACACGCGATCCTAAAGTGTTTCCTTATTCCTACGTAAGTCACGAGTCTATACTATTTCCTTAAGTGCCTCAATCGCAATTCGATAAGAATAGTTGTAATGCAGGACAAGTGCACTCTAGGAGCTGCTGAGCGCTGGCACATGATGGTACCAATGGTACTCATGTACTAGGTGCACTCTGGCCAGAAGGGTTCAAAGGCTCCGAAGGCAATACGTGCGCGGAAGAAGGAACAAAGCCATGCGCCGGCAGGGGTCCTGGGTTTAACGACTCGCCGCGAAAGTGGACCCACCACGGAAGGAAGACAAGAACTCCGGCCCGGGGGGTTCAGGCACGACTCGCGGGGGCGATCCAAAAAGCCTGCCTGAACCTACCTTGTTTTGTTAGGCGCCCGCACAGCCCGTTCCGCCCAACAGCGCCTCCAAGGCATTCGGCCGGGCCCCCAGCGGTTTCGCCGGTGTGCTCTGGAGGCGGCGGCAGCGCCTCGGTCTCCTCGCCAAAGTGGGGGCAAGGGAAGAGGGCAAGGAGGTCGAAACGCATGAGGACGAGGGAGGAGGAGGGAAAGGTGAGAAGAGGAGAGGGGGAAGAGGAGGAGGAGGAAGATGATGCCACGGTGGCGCATCGGTCGAAGTGTAGCATCAAAAACTGGTGCAACTGATTCAATAGTCAAGCAACGAAAGCAATGCTTTGCTTTGCTTGGCATCTCCTCGCTTTGCTTGGCATTGCTTGGCATTGCTCAGTGCTACGTCGTCGTCTCACTAACCAATATTGCGTTGTTTGGCGTTGCTTGTCTTTGCTTGGTGCTGCTTGGCGGTGCGTGGCATCGCTTTGCGCTTTTGGGTGTTGATTGGCGTTGCTTGGGGCTGCGTGGCGTTGCCTAACATCAGTTGGCGCTGCTTGGCGTTGTTGTTCGTTGTTTGGCGTTGCTTTGCGCTGCTGGGCGTTGTTTGCATAGCTTGGCAGTAAGGCAACAAAACCAAACAACCTGAAGCAGCTAACCCCTTTGTGAGGCAACGTGTCAAGGTCTGAAAGTCCCAGGCGCAGCCAACCGCTGGGCAGCTGGCGAAGAACCCGAGCATGTGCAGTTGTGAATACAGTGTTGTCGCGCCGCTTTCGGTGGAGCTCCCTATGGGGGCGCCGCCATATAGACGCTGCTACTTAAGCCTTCGGTGGAACTCCCTATGGGGCCACGAACCGTGTGAGAGGTGCGCCAAACTGGGGCGGCGCCGCCATGTGGACCCTGCCGCTGGTGCGCCGAAACACAGACATGCGGAGGGCAGAGGCAAGAATGGGAGGAGGGAGGAGGGGGAGGAGGAAGGAGGAGAGGAGAGGAGAGGAGAGGAGACGTGGGGCGCTGTCTCTTCAAAGCGAGGGCCCAACACCACAGGATGGTTGGGAAAAAATGAGCGCAGAACGCAGCAGAAACGAAAAGTCCAGCTGGGGCAAGTGAGCATCGTTTAACCGATGCCGATCCCCACTGTCATGGCCTTGGCCCCAGTAGCCGATTAACCCCCCTAGATGGGGATATCGGCTGTTATCTTCGGGTTTCGATGGGCCTATCCCCGACTGGGTGGGGGGGATAGTGGGGGTGAGATGCCATGGCCTGGTGGGGATGGGGATAGTTGGAAGGATACTAGGAAAGAAGAAGCTACACACGCGCGCGCACGCGCACAAACGAGGCGAGAGAGGGAGCGAGAGAAGAAACGGATCGGAGCGGCGCAAGTACTGGGCACCGAAAGTGCCCGTGCCGTTTTGGGGCAAGGCGCGGGGGGCCGTAACCTCACATCGTGTGGGTGTAGCAGACGGGGTGGCGGGAAAACTGGAAACAGGGAGGGGGGAGAGGGAGGAGGGCAGAGAGGGGAGAGGAGAGAGGGGACAGAGAGGGGACAGGGAGGAGAGAGGGGAGAGGGGACAGAGGAGAGATGGGAGAGAGGGAGGGGACAGAGAAGCGAGGGGACAGGAAGGGCCACGGCGGGCCACCCTCCCCCAAAGGAAGGCTGCCCGAGGGGATCGCGGGCGGCGACGCAGGACCCACCTCCACGCCCGAGGGCTACCCCTCGGATCGCAAGGCGCCGCGGTGAGGCCTGCGTCCCTCCCCTGCAGAGGCGCAGTCGGAAGTTTGAGCCCTTCCCCGCCGATGGGGCAGGAGCAGTCAGCACCGCGTCGCTAAGTCGGACTGCGTCGGAGCCTGCATCGGGTCGGGGTGCATCGGCACAATCGAAATCGAATCGAGTCGGCCGCGCTCAGATAGCTAAGCTGAGCAAGTACGTGACCGCATCAGATCGCCCGAACATCAACATCGAATCGAGCCGGGAAAGCCGCAGTCAAACTGCGCGTGCTCCCCCACCCCCGTCGCGGAGAAAGGGGAAAGGAGGGCCGCTCTTTTTCTTGAGCAACACAGGCCTGCAGGAGTTCGGTTCATCACCCAAACAGTCTGATTATATTTCGATATAGTCATGTATACCAGTAAAACTGCAAACTTCCCAGCATCTCCCCTTGGGCGCAAGGAAGCGGCTCGGCCTCTAGCCGAGAAGCATGAGCAAGGTACCAGCTTTGCGGTCCCTTCTGCGGGCCTTCCGCGGGACTCCCCGCGGGCCCTCAGCCCGTGAGTGGGTCTACCAGCCGCGGGCAGGCGCGGGACTAACCGCAGCCTTGTCGTTAGCTCAGCCTCGGCCGTCGGAGCGCTTCCTGCGACCATCCGTCTAGCTCTCGGAGTGGATCAGCTTCGAGCCATCGGGGCGATCTCGGCACTCGCTCTTGAACGTCTCAATCCACTCCTGCGCGGCCCCAGGACTACTCAAGTCCTGGGGGTTGATCCTGCCCAGCGGTCCGCACATCCTAGCCGTCGCTCTCAGCTGATCGACCTCCTTGGCCTGGCGATCCGACAGGACGTTGCCCTTCATGATCAGCCTCGTGACTGGGTCGTCTTTGAGACCGCTCACGCGTAGGCCTTTGGCTCTCAAGATCTGCTTCAAATCGACCGCGAGAAACGCGTAGAAGAGCTTGTGCCTCGCCTCGCCGTTGCGCCGTGCTGGGCGAGGCTCTGTGCCAAGTCCTCATGCACTCGTGGTCTTGACCTCCGTGTCAGCCCGAGTAGACAGGTAAACGTCGGCGTCTCCGGGAGCGGGGTCAACCGCCTCCTGAATGAGGTCCTTCTTGAAGTAGTTCCTCGCGTAGCAACCGCACGCGCATCCTAAAGCAAACACTGCGGCGATCACCACGAAGACACCCGTCTTCAGGATGGACCAGAACTCCTCGCGATCCACGTGATGGGGTATAGGCGCGGGGCAAACCGCTGCCTGGCCTGGCCCCTCGTACACCGTCAACTTCTCGCCCGGCGCAGAAGCCGCGACTCCCGCGAAAACTGCCACCGCGCTCAAGCCCTTGAACTGTTTTCCGAACATGAGGTTCAGAGTGGTGCAGTGCTTCTCTATCGTCGACCACTCGCCGTACTTGGTGAGCACGCCCGCCGCCATCTCATTGGCGTCCTCCTCCAGGAGCTCAAACGCCTTGAGCCGCAGCCGCTCCTGAATACATAAGTACCTCAATTCCAAGTGCCTGACCTTGCCCAGGCCCGCTCTGCTGCACATGCCCCGCCCCGCGGTGCTGTCGGTGTAAATCTTCAGTTTGCAGGGCCTCTGGGTCTCGATCATGTAAATATTGCGCTGGAGTCCTCTGGCAGTCGCGCTGCCTGTAGCATACATCCCGGGTTCCCCTGCACTTAGAGCTATGGTGCTCTGCGCCACTGAGTAGCAGTCCCATGTGTGCTCACCATACCGTACTGCTCCTCCGCTCGTGGATCGTCTCTGCAATTCACTTGCAAGGGCCCAGTCTGCATCTCCGCCCACGCGAATGCCTTCACGAGTACCCTGCAAAGGATAACACCGCACCAACACAAACTGACCTTCATAGTACCGTCCAAGCCGCTGAACTCGCGCATGCATCAGAACGTTGGGGTTCGAGACGTGCTGCATCGCGGTCTTTCTGGCATACATCGTGTCGGGCCTGTCCGAGAGGTAGAGTGCCGTGCCTGCTGCACCTGCAACTTCCCGGGCTCGATCCTTGAACAGAACGTCTAAGCTGTCTCGTCGTCCTTGTCCTGTAGCTTTCGCCCCTGGAGTAGGTGCTGGCTTGCACCCTCGCTTCTGTGCCCACTGAATCATGAAATCCACGTTCATAGGACCCGCTGTCCAGAAGAAACCTAGCTCTTCTGAACCTGGCAGCTTGTCGGTGTACCCGATGATCCTCTTGAGGCAGTTCGTCCGCCCAGGTCTTCCAGGCCCCAATCTGGCACTCGCTGTGACCTCGAACTGCTGCTCCAGCAACTCGCCCAGCTGCTCGTCGTAGCCTTCGACCAGAAAGTGATCTCCGTGGCAGATCGCTGTGCTGTCCTCGTCGAGGGCAGGGATGTTGGGACTCGCTGGTGGGTAGAACACGTTGGGGCCCGCCACCAAGCATTCCCAGTGGCCGTCCTCCATGGGCGTCCGCAGCAGCCCCCCCCCCCCCCCACATCCGCGAAGTCTTCCTGGTGCCGCTCACGGCCTTCCGCAGCCACCAGCACCTTCCAGGAGGGCACAGCTCACGTCCAGGATGAACGTAGATTGCCTCATCGACGTCGGCGTTGAAGAAAGCCTTTCTGACGTCCCAGACCTGAATAATCCGCTTGTGCTCTCCCGTCGGAGTAGGGCTCGATGCGGCACGGCTTAACGTCGCCCTTACAATCATGAGCGGCGGCGTGCATTGGTGGTTGTCCTCGCGCACCTCGTGCTTGTTGATCTCCGTCGCTACGAACCTCCACCTGACTCGGCCTTCCTTCACGTGGGCGATGGGGAAGCCCCCGGCATGCTTGCCGTCGGTCGCCGTCGACGTCGCCACCTCCACGTAGCCTCCATAGTCGTTCATGGCCTGCAGCTCGTCGTCGCGACCCTTCTGGTACAGATCCTCGATCCTCATCCAGGGGTTCTCCAGTGCACAACCCCCTGGAATAAAAAGTCGGGACCGCAGAGGTCGGGGAATAAGCCTTGTTGTTCGGCTCCCGTTAGGCCACGGGGCCACGGTGCAATGTCGCAGGGGCCGCCACGGTTAAATTCCCGGTCCATCCTCACCCCCTCTAATATTATAATCGCCAAGCGGGGTGACGACTGGAAATCCGCACCGCCGAATACTTCCTCAAAAAAAATGTCCGGACGATTTTCAGGCAACCTGAAATTCTCAGTGGCGACCGGAAATGGGCGATTTCGCTCGGGACTTCCTCGCAAATAGATTTCTGGTCCCAGTTATGTTGCTTGGAAGTTGCGATTCTGCTTGGCACTTCTTGCCAGTCATGTTTACCTCTCGGGGAGCGACGATGCAAGGGGGCCTGCAGTGCCGATCCGGACTTTTTTTCCAGGGGGTGGTAGTAATCGTAGTGTACCGTCTTTGGGCTCCACTGGTCGTGCTCGTGCAACTCGGCACTGACCTCAACCATCTGCTCGATATGCTCCTCTTCTGGTTCTCCGAAATGACTCCTGACCGTGCCGGTGCGGCTCATCAGGCAGCGCCTGCATGCGCACTCACCTCGGTGGCACTCCCTCAGCTGGCATCTCGACGAATGCTTCTCGCACCTATCCGAACATCTTGAACTTCGCTTCGGGTGTGGATCCCACGTCGGGTCGAAAGTCTCTTCGTTGCCTTCCTCGCAGAATGCCACTCCACAGACAGAGAGCAGACCAATCCAATGGTAGTTACTCTTGGCTTCTTGATCTCCACTTCGGCCCTTCCTTCTCCTTGGGCACCTCGGAAGTCGCTCCTGAACTGATCAGGTTACGTCTGCGTGGCTGTCTGTGCTTCTGTCTCTCCTGGGACAGGAGGCATGGCCATGTCCTCTGCAGCAGGTGCGGGTGCTACCGCTACCTCGCTGCTGCTCGATGCCGCTGTTGATCCAGCTGCTGCTCCAGGCGCGGGGGCCCCCGCAGCTGGGGCTGGAACCACCGCCGCAGCCTCTGGGGCCACAGGGTCCAACTTCTCGCGCAGGAGGTCGGCCTGGATGGTCTCAAATCGCTGACGGCAAGCTCCCGAGTGCGATCCGCATCCAGCGCTGCATGCCCTGTCGTCGCCGGTCGGGCCGCGAGCGTCGATCATGCGCTCCGTGATGTACATGCTGCGTCCGATGGGTCCTGCACTCTTGTCATGGATGTGCTTCCACGGCGCCACCCTGGTGTTCTAGATGAGCTCAGGCAGCCACCTAAACTCCTCTGGTATCTTTCGCGCGGTTCTGACCTTCTGCGCGCCGCGCTCCGGGTCGATCACGAAGTGAGCGTCGTCCAACTCGTTCTTTCCAACCCGGATCCCTTTCGCGAATCGGGCCTCCCACTTGCCGCGTCCAGCAGCAACTCGGGCTGAGACATATGCCAGACCTGCTCGCCCATCTCCGCGATCTCCCCACTGTACTCCTTGCCGTGCAGCATCTGGTGGGAAGAACTTCCGTGGCTTCGCGGCTGGAACCTGGCGATCATCCAGCCCACCGAGTTGACGAGCCCAGGCGCGATCGGATCCGTCATCTTGATCTCGCGTCCCAACCTGTGCTCCAGCTTCAGCTTGTAGGCCCGCAGCAAACATGCTGCAAGCTATTTGGCCCCCTCAGCGTAGCCAGCACTCAGCTTGGAGAAAGGCGGTGGCCACCGCGCCAAGGTAGCGTGCGACCTGCGATCTCGAACTGCATTCGCCAGGGCAATTGCGGCAGGCTCCTGGTCTGTCTGAAGGGCCGCTGTCGTGCGACCCCAGACCTCCAGCACAGTTATTAGGAAGGACACCTTGTAGTCATCCAACCCTTTGTTAGCGCGCAGCGTCGCTGGTGCCAGGGTCTTGCAATCGATCGCGCTCAGAACCGCCATCGCCTGTTCGAGATCCGCTTTCGTTGCCGGCGGCTTCTCGCGCATGCTGAAGTAGACTCCTTTAAGCTTGTAATTAGCCGCCAACTGGTCAGTTCCCACATAGAAGATGTCGAACACCACCTTCGGCACTTGCTTCTCGCCCGCTGGCTCCAGCGCGCAGCGCGGATCGTCATCCGCTCGAGCTTCCGCGCACACTGGGCGCCAAGGGCGAAAAGGCAGGCGATGCCCTTCGCGCGCGGCCCTCTCCGCAGCACAAGGCTGGCAGGGTGACTTCAGCACTCTCGTCGGCACAGTCGTAGTCTCGTTCGCCTCTGGGCCGAGAACCCTCGGCAAAGATCCAGCTTCTTGTCCAGCCGGGACCTTCCGCGGCAGCGTCTTCCTCACTGCTGCTACCTGCGCGGCTTCTGGTTGGGTCTTGACGTCTATGATGCGATCGTACTCGCAGTAGTAGATGGCCTGATGACGTCGTAGACGTACGAATTCAGCTCCTTCAGGCGTCTCGATGGCGCCGTTGGTGATCCAGTGACCTGCAGGACTACGGAGAAAGCTCTGGCCCTGTTGCACCACCGCATCTGTGACCACAACGGGATACTCCACTTCAGCAACTTGCGCAACAACTTGGATTACCTTTCCTCCTCTGGACAGGTTAAGCTCCGCATGGCCGTGCCTCTCGATCTCCTCGCCTCCGATACCCTTCGAGCCAACGACGTTACTGGCCGCCAGCGTGTAGTTTTACTGGGTAGCCTGCTTTCTCGGCGCGGCGCTGATATGCGCGCCTGAGTCGAGCGCGATGGCATTCCGAAGTGGGGCTAACCGCAGTCGCTCATCTTCTGACCCATGCCCCCGTAGGCCCCCGATCTCGAGCAGCGCGGGTCCGGCAGCAGCTGACTCGCAGCAGCTACAAGAATTCGAAATTCGAGTGCCTGTGCTTGTCCTGGCAGTATTCCGCGCACGCCCCGCAGAAGTCCAGCTTCCACTCTTCGCGGTGCCGTGCGTTACCCCTGAGCATTTCTTGCGCGAGATGCAGATGGACTCGCGGTAGCCGGGCAGGGTGTACTTCCAGTCGATCCTGTGGGTTAGTGCTTTGTGACCTCGGCCCTCAGGCCCAGAACCATTTTCGCTCGCAGCCCCCTGCAGACTGGCGAGGCGACGGGCAATGTCACTGCGCTCTCGGCACTGCTGCGCGCCCCTGGCAGAGGCTGCGCGCGCGTCGTCGACCCTGTCGCTGGAACTACTCCTGCTCGGCGCAACCTCTCGAGCTCCTTTGCTGCTGCTGCCGCGACCCTCTTCTTCTCTCTGAACTTGTCTTTTATGTGCTGCTTAGTGTCCTTGTTGTCGGCTATCCGCTTGCGGCAGTTGGCGCTTCGGTGGCCTTTCTTGTGGCAGTGGATGCACTCCAGGTCGGCGCCTGGGTTTGGCTGCCCTTCCTTGCCCTCGGCTTCCTTGCCATTGCCGCGGCCGTTCCACGCCTTCTTGCCGCCCTTCAACCCGCCGATGTCCATCGGACCGTCGTGGCCCGCTCGCTCCGCCGTCAGCGCTGACACGACTTCGGCTCGCAAGGGCTCGTACGCGTTCAGCCGACTGCTGTCCCGAAGCGCGTGCGTCTGCAACTCCGCATGATCCTTGAGCGCCTTGGCGAGGATTCTTCGCTTGGTGAGATCCGACATGGGCTCGCCCGACATCTTCTGGTGCCTCGCCATGTCCTCGTCGAGCTTGCTGATGCTCACCATCACGTCGTCAGTTGCCTCGAACCTCGTGTCCGTAAGCTTGGTCCACATCGCCAGCACGTTGCCTGCTTCGCTTGGGTTGTACTCCTTCTGAAGCTGCCTCCAGCAAGCTGCTCCTTCGCCCGTGCTGCGGTTCCTGGCGACCATCTCCCCTGCCGAGTCCTCGTGCGTGACTAGGACCAGGGAGAAGTACAACTGCGTGCTTAGCTCCTCCTCTTGGGCTGACTGACAGGTGCACGCTGTCCACTTCCTGCGCCCCATCTTCGCATTTCTCGAGAAGAGGTCGATATCTTCGGTCTTGCGCGATCAGGTAGGCCCTGTACTGGAAGCTGAACGTCTTCCAGCTCGCTCTCTGACCGTCGAACGGCATCGCTTTGTGAAGAATATTCGAGTCCATCATCTCGCCGATTGCCCTTGAAGCTGACCTCGCATCTCGGCTATTGTTAGATCTCGCTGCTGAAGCTCGTTCCTCATCTGCTGACTCTCTGTCGTCAGCCTCTGCACCTGCTCGGCCAATTCTCGCACTTGACCCTCCATCTTCCTTGTCGGCCTTCGCCTGACGCTGGAGATCGAGCGCGAGCTGTCGCTTCACCGATGCTCGCTCTTCCTCCGTAAGCTGAGCGGCGTCACCACACTCGGCCAGTTTCCTCCAGGCGCTCCCTCGGTTCTGGCGGTGGACTGACTCTCTGGGGCTCTGTCACCGCGCTTGTTCGCCTTCTTCGCCTTGCACTTTCCCGCAGGCTTAGCCTTGACCTTACTGGAAGGCTCAAGTCGAACTCTCGTTCTGACCTCCTTGCCAGGGCGCGGGTCCTCCCGCAGTTCTGGCCAGCAAAGGGTATTCCGTTGTAGAACAAAGCGGATCGTCTCGTTGCTGCTTCCGCGGTCCTTCCACCGCTGGGTTTCCTTGAGGGGCTCCTGGAGCTCGCCGAGTGCGGAGCTGGCCCGCAAACCTCAAGCGAGCTCCGCTACCATGCACGTGCTCCCCCCACCCCCGCCGCGGAGAAAGGGAAAGGGAGGGCTGTTCTGTTTCTTGAGCAACAAAGGGCTGCAGGATTTCGGGTCATCGCCCAAACAGTCTGATTATATGTTGATATAATCATATCCGTAAAAATACAAACTTCCCAGCACAAACAGGATCGATCGGATCGACGTGGGCCCCGTGAGAAGCCACACCCTTCCTCGAGAGAGGAGCCCGGAAGACAAGGGTGTGGGCGCACCATGACCCAAGGCATGCGCGCGCACGATGGGGGCGCCAGGGAACGCATGTGCCGCATGGAACGAAGAAGAATAACTGAACTGAACTGACACCCTGTCGGACATCAGACCGCCCCGCTGCGGGAAAGGCGGTCACGCGCCGCAGCGCTGCTCTGCGAAACCTCAGATCTGACAGTACTGCTCATGCAGAGCGTGCCATGCGTCAGGATTCGCTGCCACGCTCTGCCACGTATCAGCAAAGCCGCGTGAGCTCAGGCGCCACGAAATCTGCTGGGAGATCTCAAGGCCCCCGCCATGATGTCCACGCACGCCTCGGGTCCTCACCCCACTCTTGGACGCCCCAGCACCGCCCTCCCACTCCCGTCCTCGCTCCCTCCTCCCCCCGCCCTCGCTTCCTCCTCCCCCCCCCATCCTCGCTCCCTCCTCCCCCCCCGTCCTCGCTCCCCCCCGGGCACCGCCCCCGTCCTCGCTCCCTCCTCCCGCCGTCCTCGCTCCCTCCTAGCCCCCCCCGCCCTCGCTCCCTCCTCCCCCCCCGTCCCCGCTCCCCCCCGGGCACCGCCCCCCCGCCCCGTCCTCGCTCCCTCCTCCCGCCCGGGCTCCTCACGGCGCCCGGGGCTCGCGGGCGCAGGATCGGCGGCGGGCTCGGCGCAGCTCTCCACCTGGGCGGGGCCCGCGCGGGCCACCGTGGCGGTTTCAGCCACGGCGACGGCGAGGCACACGACGTGAAGGTACACTTTTCCTTCCGTCGGGGGCGCCTGTCCCAGGGCGGCTGGGAAGTCCATACCCCACACGGCGGCACGTGCGGCCGTAGACTTCCCGACCGCCGTGGGATAGACGTCCCCGATGGCGGAATATGCTTTATATGCCGTTCATCGTCCGCTGAACTCCTCCTCCTCCTCCTCCTCCTTCTCCTCCTTCTCCTCCTCCTCCTCCTCCTCCTCCTCCTCCTCCTCCTCCTCCATCTCATCTTCCACCTCCTCTTCCACCTCCCCATCCACTTCATCATTATTCCCTCTCCTCCTTCTCTTCCATCTCCTCCACCCTCTCCTCCTCCTCCTCCTCCTCCTCCTCCTCCTCCTCATCCTCCATTTGCTCTCCCCCTCCTCCGACAACCGCTCCTCCCTCCTCCACTTGCTCCTCCCCCTTCTCACGCAATCCATTTGTTCTGCTCGTCCCTCTCCCTGTCCTCCCTCTGTTTGCGGGAGAGTCCTCCCTCTCCCCTCCCATTCCAAGTATCTTATCTCATCCCGCCCTCCTCCTCCTTTCTTCTGCTCCTCTCCTTGTAGACTTCCAACCAACGAGCTGCCGGCATCTTACTCGCTGGACAACGCCAATGCCCCCGACGCTTGTGGAGACCAAGCCACTCCATTACTTTGGTTTTAAGTGGTCGTAAATTGCCACCGGCCCATATTGAAGCGCAAAGCTGTGAATTGTTCTGCTGGACTGCTGTCATGTGTTCTTTGCGCTGTCATGTGTTGTTTGTCTCTTGTTTTTTCCTTCTGGTCTCCTTTATACTGCCTACCCAGTCACCCAGGGGGACCCAGTGGTGTGTGCGCCTCAAACTCCTGGCGCGCTAGTTTGCTCAAAAGCACCCAGAAGCACTCAGAGGGCTCCAAGAGCCCCCATAGAGGCTCCCAAGACTACTCCCACGAGAGGCCCCAAAAACGCCTCCAAAAGGCCCCCGAGAGGCCTCCCAGGCGACCCCAAGACGCCTTCCAACGAGGCCCCTTGTCCACAACCCAGGCACGGTGGCGGGGTTGGCCGAAAGACACTAGATACACCGAAGAAGCCTTGAGGCTTCCTCCAGCAAGGACAGCTGACATGCGCGAAGTGTCACGACTCTCAATACTGCGTGGCACTTCGCCAAACTCCCAAGGAATGGCTGGTAATTTGCCACCGGCGTCCTCGATAATTATTGGACGCGGAAATCTCCATGTGGGCATCTATGTTCTGACTAGGTTCTGACGCTCTCTCTTTCTGAACGTCTGACTATGAATGAGTCTGAATACGAGCGGCTCAGTATAAATGAGTCGGGCCTGGGCTGAAATTGAGTATGAATGACTGTGTACAATGGAAATGGCCATGAGGGGGTATGAGTTTGAGCCGTTCTGAGTAAGTATGAATGGGTCTGGGAGTGTATGAACATTAATATGCCTGAGTCTGGGTAGGAGTCTGCAAGCGAGTGGACCTGGGTAGGAGTAAAGTTCAATCTGTGCGGCAACGTATGAGCGGGCCTGAATACTGGTGCGCGCACGTTTCTTAGAACATGTGTGTGTGTGTGTGAGTTCGAACGAGTACGACCGACTGGGTGCGAGTCGCTTTGAATATGAGTGAATATGTGTGTGTGTGGCGGACTGACTACGGCCAGACCTAGGACATAACAACATCCTTCAAGAACACGAGACCCTCCGCCGCCCAAACTGAAGAACACTCGAGGGTACCCTCCCCTAGGATGCACAAGAACATCCGACAAGCACGAAGGACATGAGGGTACCCTCCCCGAACCGACCTCGATGTTATACCTCGGTCCGCCCGTACGCGTGGATTTGAATGTGGGTGGATCTGGATAGGGAAGGCTAGGATTGAGGATGGATAGGGAATTGCTAGGGAATGGTCAGGGATAGGGAATGGCTACGAATTTTGAATGTGAGCGGATCTGGATAGGAATGAGCCTGGGCACTGGTGGGGATCCTGGCGCCCCAAAGGGCCTGCCGAGCCCTCCCGGGGCCTCCCTCGGACTGCTGCCCCTCGTCGGACATCCTGGGCCCCTCGCGGGGCCTCCCCAGGCTCCCTGGAGCCTCCCTGGGGCCTCCCAAAGCAACTTGAGCTTGAAGTGTCCCGCCCGAACCGGTAATCCCATGTTACTGACGGTGATGATAGAGACCTGGAAACAAACCACATTGGGCGTTCTATTTTAGCGCGAACGGGCCAGTGCCACACCCCTGGCGCCCCCCACCCCTTCGGAAGACCCAAATGGGATACCTACTACATCGGAGTGATCGTGATGATGATGCGGCTCTGAAACGGAACGCGTCTACTTCCTAAAACCAGCGCTCCCCAAGACGTCCCACCAATAAAGGCGGACGGGCCCGTGCAACACTCCTGGCGCCCCCCGTTTGGAAGCCCGAGCACGTTGACTGCTGCACCATGGTGATCATGCGGCTCTCAAGCAGAACAGGTTCACGTCCCGAAGCGTGCGTTCCAACAAGGGGTCCCACCAGACGAAGCGCGAACGGGCCCGTGCAACACTCCTGGTGCGACCCCTTGAGAAATTCTAAAAAATGCCAGTGGGCCTGCTACATCGCTGTGATCGTGGGCTTCTGAAGCGGAACAGGCCCACGTCCCAAAACAGGCGTCCACGCCAGAGCTCCGCCAGACTGGGTGGCAACGGGCCCGTGCAACGCCCCTGGTGCGCCCCCTTTGGAAGCTCTAAAGCGACGCCTGCTACTTCGCGGTGGCCATGGGCCTCCGAAGCGAAACGAGTGTGCGTCCGAGAACGGGCGTTCCACCCGAGAGGTCCCACTAATCTGGGCGCGAAGGGGCCAGTGCAACATCCCGGGTGCCTTTATACTTGGGAAACTCTGATGGGATGTCTGCAAAAACGCTGGTATGACAATGCGTGACTCCATTGGGGGACCGGCGTTGGCCAGACATCCGCCTGCCACTGCCAAACAATCAGATAATGATCGCCAAGTCATGCCACAAATACATCGGGGAACCCACGTTGGCCAGACAGCATCATCCTGTCACTACCAAAATATGCTCCAATTCTCGCACATTGATGCACCTTGACACCAACAACGATGGTTTGTGACCCTGGACAGTGTACACCTGATGCGGGAATTGATCGCTGCCTCTGTGCTCAAGGGTGGCCGAACGCCGCAGCCTTTCGCGCTGGCGCCAAGCTTGGCCCCGTTCTCACCGTGAATTCACATGGGATGAGTCAGGAACGTTAGGATCGAAATTCCGAGAGAATTCTCGGTCTGGCTTTACCCCCGAATTAATCCGTCGATCTGTCGTGAGTTTGTGAGAGAAGCTACGTTTGGGCTTCAACTCTGCTGATTCTACAACCTGAACTTCCGCTCTGCTGAGGGGCGTGCAGGGGTGGCTCCGCTGGGGTCTGGGGGGAGGGGGGAGCACTGAATTTCCAAACCGCCCCAAGACGGGCCAAAAGATGCCGAAAGGGGCCCATGAGGCCACCAAGACGGTCCAAGATGCGCACGCGACGGCCCAAGAGCGCTGCAGGACGCCCAAGATGGCCTCAAGACAGCCAAAGAAGCCTCGAAGACGCTTGAAAGGGTGTCCAAGGGGGCCCACCAGAAGGCCCCAAGAGGCCCAAATCGGCCAAATCCCTTGGGCTCTGGTATGAGATTAGCAATATCGCGTGGTCAATCTTAAAAGCGCTCAAGACGGTCCACCTCCCCCAATTAGCCCAAGAGACTCGCAACATGGAACCAAGACGGCACAAGAGGGTCCGAAGATGGCAAAGGAGGCCCCCAAGACTACCCCAAGAGGCCCCCAAAACGACCCAAGAGGGAAACTCGAACTGACCCTTCGAGCCCGTCACCCCAAGATGGTCCCCAAAGCCCCTAAGAGGCTCCCGAGGCGCACCCATGAGGCCCCAAGAGGCCTCCCAAAGAGGCCCCTTGTCAACGACCCAGGCACGCCCCCCAAGAGGCCTCCCAAAAGCCCCGAACATACTACCAAGAAGCCCCAAGAGGCGCAGCCTCGCGCGCTGCCAGGACAGAGGTGCATGGTCTGATGGTATTGCTCGGAGGCGGAAGCGCTGAACTGAGAACCAGCGAAGAACTGCGAGCACCTCGAACCTCAAACCTCTTCGCTCCTCGCTACTCGGTGGCGGCCCAGAAACACCAAGAACGCCCTGGCCGGCGGATCGGACAGGAGGCACATTAATATGATGTAAGCCAAGCGGATTGCTGAAGCAACAGTGGTGAAAAGCACGTGTTTTCTAGAAATCCTGTTCGAGTGTATGTAAGCACCGCGGATATGATACGTCCGAATCGCACTTGGTCGCCAAAGTTTCGCGCCGCCGATTTACATCGCGGTGATCACAGGGCTTTGAAGCTGAACTGAGTGTCAGTTGTGGTATGAGTGAATCAGAGTTCTATAGAGTATGAGTATGAGTGAGGCTGCGTGTGAGGGGGTCTATGTGAGTCTGTGTGTTCGTGCGTGTGAGTGTACATGACTATGTTAGAGGACGAGTGAGCATGAGTATGAGTGGATTTGAGTGCGAGTAGGTCTACGTCGGAGTTAGTCTAAATGTGAGGTACCCTGAGTGTCTGATTTTGAATGACTCTGAGTCCAAGTGAGTCTGACTATGGGAGGGAGGCGGGAGGTGAGGTGAGGAGGAGGCGGGAGCTTGAGACTGTGAGCAATTGCCCATATTCTTGGGACATGGGGGATACACAACTTGATTTGAACATACCTCGACCCACCCACTGCGTTCATGTAAGATTCCTAGAAACGGCAAGCACTGGCTGCCGCCATACACATAACCAAAAAGAAAACTGGCGCTAAGCACTGGTGGCAACACGGAAATGATGTGGACTGTGTTGGTTCACAATCGACCTGTATCAGATCCCGAAAACCTTCACGCTAAACTCCACTATCTCAGCGAACGGTCCGACTCAAGGTGTCGGGCAGGACGAGCCGATCCGATCGCAAGACACAGCTCTGAAGCCCTCACCAGGCGGAGGGGGGATCCTGCTTTTGAGTTGGAGCCTCAGGCCTCGAGATACAGGCCGACCTCCAGCCAAGCAGCAAGGACCCTTTGAAGGTTAATGTTGCTTCATAAATGACCCCTTCAAACAAGTGCAGCCCACGGACAACGCGACTTGAAAGGCATGCTCATCTGAGCCAAACGTATGACGGTGGATGGCCGTGGAAGCTCAAGCCACATGCACCACGCAAGCGAACAATGACTCAAACTCGACGACTGCACGACTGTAAAAGCGTGAGGCCAGACAGACAAGTCTACATTGATACCCACAGACCAGGGGACGACTGGAGACCAAATGTCTGAGGCAGCGTGCAATCTTCATGCTGGAGGGCTAGAACTAACGCCTAAGTGCACGGCAATGCTGTCGGGGAGGCGCAAGGACACCGTGAAAACAAAATGTCACAGCCGATTACCAACGCCTCGTGTTGGCAAGATGTATATCCGTTTCCACTACGTATTGGACTTTCTGGGAAGGGGCGCCAAAAGGCCGAGGCACAGCGGATTTGGATACGCATCTAGCCTCTAGGGTACAGATTTGTATCCATGTCCGCTGCGCCTCTTGTTTCTGGGGAAGGGAGCCCGAAACTCCAAATATTACCCGCATCATTACCGACGATGCCTACGGCGCACGCTGACGCTTTTGTCAGCATCCCCCCAGCGACCACCTCGTCCCAGAGGTGGCTGATACTGGGACTCAGGGCGGACGCAAATGAGGAACAGCCGCCGTCCTCCCCGGACACGGGGCCAGAGAAGCGAGAAAGGATGAGGTCGATGATATGCGATGTGCGATCAAGCGAGTACTGGGCAGGAGGACGACACATCAAGGAAGAGGAGGGACTGATGTAGAAGAATGGTTCAGATCTCAACGAATGATGAGATCACAACACAACTCTACGTTGAATAGACATACAGACTGGTTGGTCACTGCCCTCATGTCCCAGAGCGTCCACGTTTCATCTCGCCATGTTCGATTGGAAGCGTACCGTGCAAGATAGTACGACCGTGCGCACTTATATCCCGCTGCAGATGGGGAAGCGTATGCAAGGATAGCATTTGGTGACAAAGGTATTTGAACTGTTTCTAATAGCGTGCGTGCACAGGCAAGATGCAATGCTGATCGAGGTAGGCGCGGGTGCGTGTAGCACGGTTTCCCCTCCCAAATGAGGGCCAGTTGAAAGTCTGCGGGCATTGACTGGCACGCAGATGCGTCAGGTCGCGACGCGGCCAACCCCAGGACACTGCAAACAGTTTGAGAGGGCCCATGCGTGACCCCTGGGGCGATAAACGCCCAGTGAGGCGTCGCAGGGGCCACTGTTCCAGCACGACGAGGACCTCAGTGAGGCCACGTCTTCCCTGTGCTATTAGGGCTAGGGGCTTTGATCCCCGATGAAATCAGGACCGTCTTCCCTAGCCGAAGGCTCGGGGGCGCGCAAACATGGATTAGCGATCCATGGATTTGGCGCGCGGTCGCCGAATCCATGGGTCGGGGGGTGGGGCCTTCCCAAAATGCGGCCTGTGCCGCCTCGTTCGGCGGCGGAAATCCGCGATTTCCCCCGGAAACGCCTGGAAATGGGCACCAACACCAACACAGGGGGGGGGGCCTCCACAGGGGGAAGACGATCCTAGATTTCGGTGTTGGTGGTGATATTTCGACCACCTTGGAAGCCAGAATGTTGCCACCATCACCGAGATCGGGATCTTCTTCCCTCGGTGGAGGCACACCGCCGAAATTGGTGTTGGTGTCAACCTCTAGGCCTGCGAACCTCCGACCTTGGTGTCAACATACCGGCACCCCGGGGCTGTCGCCAGCAGGGGTCCCAGGGGAGGTCCTTAGGGTCAGCAGCACCGGCCGTAAGGCCTTCGCAATCTGGGAGAGATCGTGGCGCGGGCCACGATATCCCCCCCCCCTCCCAGTCTTCACCGCCCTCTTGGACGCTCCCGACGCTCATCAGCCGCCGTGCTGCAAGGCCTTGATGGCGGAACGAGGGGGGGGGTACTGGCTCAGGGGGGGCGGACTGGCTCGGGAGGAGGAGGAGGAGGAGGAGGAGGAGTAGGAGGCGAAGGCGGACCAGAGCAAACTCAAGACTCATCGACGATGTTGGGATACACGCTCCCTCCAAGCTACCTCGTCATAGGCCCCATATAAAGGTTCATTTCCACTGAGGGAAGTGCCCCGTTGAGAGACATCCCCTGAAACGTGCCAAACAGCATTCTTAGGAATTCGACGCCACGAGTTAACCTGACAGTTGCGTCTTGACGATCCTGAATCGTGCCAGATCCAAATTCCTGGGGCTTCAAAACTGCGAATCAACATAACTGATGCGGCTTGACAATCCTGAATCGTTCGACAACACCGGATAACCGTGAGAATCCGCAAAACTCTTGTAATTTCTTAGGACGAATGCGCGCGGCGCTAAGGCGAGAAACACATTTTGAAAACGGCCCGCCCTCAATGCGTGAAACTTTTGCGAATGTTAAAACGAATGAACGCGGCGCTAAGGCGAGAACAACATTTTGAAATCGGTCCGCCATCAATCCGTGAAGATCTTCTCTTTTTGTAGAACGAATGCGCGCGGCGCTAACGCGAGAGCCACATTTTGAAAACCACACGCCCTCAATCCGTGAAGCTCTTGCAAGATGTTGAGACGAATGCGTGGGGCGCTAATGCGAGAACCAACATTTTGAAAACCACCCACCCTGGATCCGCGAAACCCTTGCAAACTTTAAAAGCGAATGCGCGTGGCGCTGATGCGAGAGCCACATGTTGAACACAACCCGCCCTCAATCCGTGAAGCTCTTGCAATGTTTAAACGGAAGTGTGCGGCGCTAAGCGAGAGCCACATTTTGGAAGCGACCCGCTCTCCATCAGTGAAACTGTTGCCAGTTTCCAAGCGTCAAACTCATCAGAAATGAAGTGCACGGAAATTTCAGGCGAAACGCCCGGCCCGCCCTTCCGACCAGCCTCGGGACGCGACAGGGAAGAGTTATTCAGAAGGAATAGGAATGGATGAGGAGAAAGAGGAGGAAGGCGGTTGCAGGACTACCTTCATCAACCGTTAGAAGCAGCAGGAGGAGGAGGAGCCTAGTTGAATCAACTGCCTCCAAAGGCAAGCGCCTCTTGGGGGCAGCGTCATTAATGGCACCAGTGCCGACAGCGACGGCAACAGCAACAGGAGGAGGAGCAGCGAGGACGGCAGAAGGGCGATGCATCTGTCCCTGGAAATGGTGCGGTGAGCCTGCTGAGGTGAGGGGAACTGTCCTCAAATGATGGTGGAGGGAGGGGGAGGAGGAAGAGGAGGATGAGAAGGAGGAGGAAGAGGAGCAGGAGGAAGAGGAGTGGGAGGAGGAGCAGGAGCAGGATGGAGGAAAAAGGGAAGGAAGGAAGGAAAGAAGGAAGGACGGAGGGAAGGAAGCAGCAGCGAGGACAGAAGAGGGCGCCAGCCCCCCCCCCCCGCCACGCCCGAGCAGGATGACAAAGAGGAGGCGGAGGAGGAGGAGGAGGAGGTGGTGGAGAAGGACAAGAAGAGAAAGAGGAGGAGGTGGAGGTGGAGGAGGAGGATGCCAAGGAGGAGGCCAACAAGGAGGAGGATGAGGAAGAGGAGGAGGAGGAGGCCAACAAGGAGGAGGAGGAGGAGGAGGAGGAGGAGGAGAAGGGGGAGATGGAGGAGGAGGAGGACGACGACAAGGAGGAGGAGGAGGAGGAGGAGGAGGAGGAGGAGGAGGAGAAGAAGGAGGAGAAGAAAGAGGAAGAGGAGGACCAGGAGGAGGACGAGGAAGAGGAACCCCCCATCGCTCCTCCGCCGCCGTGCTGCAGGACCTGCTCCCGGGATCGCACCACCTCGCAGGCGAGGCCCCCAGCGGGTCTGCGCCGTCGCCTGCCGGGGACGGGCCTCGGTCCACGGCCGGCGCCTCGGACAGGGTTCGCTCTGCTCCCCGCCCCTCCCTCCCACCCCCCGGCCCCCCAAGCCGGGAGTCGAAGGCATAGTCAAGTCGCACGAGAAGGATGTGCGGTATGGATGCGGGGGCCTTGGAGGGCCACTTTGGCGTTCTCGAACGGGGGCGCGGCCAGCGAAAGTTGCCAAGGATGGGCCAGAGGAGCGAGGATGCAAGGGTAACCTTGGAAAGTTACTCATCCTTACTGTGCGCCCTGACTGTAAGCTATTGTTGTCTGTTGAACCCGACACGTCTGGTCGAGAAGGGCAAGCTGAACTCACCAAGCGGAGGTCGAACTCTAGACTCCAAACCACAGGGGGCCAGCGAATCGAAGGATGCAGCGATGCAAAACCCAATGGACTCTACAGTCGGACCTGGGACATAAAAACATCCTTGACGAACATGAGACCCCCCGCCGGCAATAAGCACACAGAACATGAAAGAGTACCCATCGCCAGGAGGCGCAAGAACATCCAGCAAGCACGAAAACATCAGTGCACCCTCCCCGAACCAACCTCGACCTCATACCTCGGTCCGACGGTATCTGAAACCACTCGAGAGGCGAAGGCCAGCGAGGAGAAGGGGAGCGGCCGAACGGCGGTCCGATGCTGCAGGCAAAGCGGGGAGTGCCCAACCCCCAGCCCCGCCTCTTGCCATCGCTCGGACGTCCCTTCCCCCTGCATGCTTCGGTTTCGTGCGTGTACTTTTTCGCGAGATGACCCAAAATGCTACTCGATGGCCTTTGCCGAGAACATGCGCACACGTCCGAGCGATGCCAAATCCTCCTCCCAAGGCGAAAGCAGGCTGAAGGGAAATCGCACAAGCCCCCTGGGCGGAGGTGGTGGAACGTATATGATCATCTCTTCTCTTCCCTCTTCCATAGCCCCTTCTTCTCCTATCCCCCCCCCAGGTCTGGACGGGAGGGGGCCCGATTTGTCGGGCGATCCTTTTGGGTTTAAGATGGCCTCGAGGATACCTCCACCCCCACACCCTCCCGCCCTCCTCCTCCTCCCCCTCCCCCTCCTCCTCCTCGTCCTCGTCCTCCTCCTCCTCGTTTTCCTCCTCCTCCTCCTCCTCCTTATGCTCCCTATGTTCCTCCTCCTCCTCCTCCTCCTCCTCTCATCCTCCTCTTCCTTCCCCCCCTCCTCCCCCCCATCCCTTGCCACCTTCTCCTCCTTTTCCCCCTTCCCTCTCCCCCCCCCCTTGGTCGTCGTCAAAATCGCGCACTCACCAGGTGAAATTCCCATCAGGTAACATGGCAGGAGGGCGGGCGATTCGCGATGCTACAACCCAAACTGTAAAACAATTATATTCGGCTTCGGCGCCGCGCACATTCTTCAACGTTCGGATGGACGGCATATCCCTCAACATACATTGTATGGTGTCACGATGTGCGGGCAGATCAACCAATCCCGTGATTATTCGTGGCGTGGGAGGTGCCTGCTCCTCCCCTCTGGGGTCGATTTCGCTGGTTCGGAAGGTGTGCTGAAAGAGTGATGTTACAGCTATGGGCGTCCACGATACTCCAAGAGGCCTCAACGACGTCGTCAAAACAGCCCACAAGCTTTAAGATGATGGTAGCGGCCACAACGAGCCCCGAAACGTTCAATAATAACCCCTCAAAGGCGCGCGCGGCACTCCCGAAGAGGTTCCGCAAGAGCCCACACCCGCAAGGGACCCATACGCTCAAATCGTGAGCAAAATTACGTTTGGTTTTCCACAAACACACACATATCTACGCACGCACGCACGCACGCACGCACCCCCCTATATATATATATATATACACCATACACACGCCCATCCATACACACACCTATATATATATATATATATATATATATATGCATATATATATGTATATATACATATACATGTATATACACATACAGTAGGGACGTTGACCTAAGGAACCCTGCATAAGGAACGAGGCCCCTTTTCTCCCATCAGTTCAAGTTCGATCTCCCATCGAAAACCTAAGGAACACCAAAGGCGAGCTCTGAAACAATCAAGGAACGCGGAGCCCCTCCCCAACGAAAAGGGTTCCTTCTTCAGCGCCCCGACTGTATTGCGCACAAAGATACATACACTAGAACCATCGCGCGCTTCGCGCGCGCTCAAGTTCTAGCTAGGCTTGATCGGCTAACTCATGTAATATCATGTTGGTCGCTTCTTGCGTCCAGGGACTCCCTTCGAGGCCCTGCGCAAGCCTCGGAATCGTAAAGAAGGGGAAGCGCGGGAGGTATTCAACGACTTGGGGCCCTCAAAGGCTTCCTGAGTTATTTTTGGAAGGTGAGGTGGATAGACCGGGGGTCAAGCTTGGAAAACAAAACAAAAATGTGGGATTCCAATTTTTTCCAGTTCCTCGGCGCTGTTCGGCGCTGTTTTTTGTTTGTGCCTCGCGGGTTTTGTTAGCTGGGCCCCTCAGGGGTGTGGGATCTTCCAGACTCCCTGGGGCTTCTGGAGGCCTCCTGGAGGCTTGGAGAGCCGTCGGAAGGGTGTCTCGGGCTGCGCGGGACCGTGTTGGGCCGTTCTTTACGTTATGGGGGCTCCTTGGGGTCGTCATGGGCTGTCCTTCGGCGTCTTGGGGTCTCCCCCTGGGAAGCCGGGAGGCGCGGTACTGGCCAGATGTCAGGGGATGTATGGGACCCCCGAGTAGGAGTCCCACTTTTCTAAAGAAGGGAATTCTGGGAATTCCCTTCTTTAGAAAAGTGGCTGTCTTCTTCTGGGACCCCTCTCGGAAGCTTTTTGGGTTTCTCTTGGGCCGTCTTGGGGGCCGATTGGGCCGTCCTGCGTTCCTCCTGGGCCGTCTTGGAGATTTCTTAAGGGTCTCCTAGGCCGTTTTGGGGGGCCGCTTGGGCCGTCTTGGACGCGGTGACAACCCAAGAGCCGAGCATGCGAAAAATATACGTTTCCCCGTAGGAATGGACGGATTTTAGTTTCTTGGGACTCTTTTGGGGTGCCTCTTGGAGCATCGTGGGGTGCTTTGGGGGGCCTGCTTGGGGCCTCTTGGGGGCGCATCGGCGCCTCCTGGGATCTCTTGGGGCCGAAAGCTCGGAATTCGAGAATGGCTTCCTTTCTCTGGGGCTCCTCTCGGGCACGTGTTGGGGCTCTCTTGGGCCGTCTTGGGGGCCCATTGGGCCGTCCTGGGCTTCTCGTGGCCCGTCTTGGAGCTCTTTTGGGGGCCTCCTAAGCCGTTTTGGGAACCCCTTGGACCGTCTTGGACGCGATGACAGCCCAACAGGCGAACATACGAAAAATATGCACGTTTCCCCACAGGAATGGGACGATTTTTGCTTCTTGGAGCTCTCTTGGGGTGCCTCTTGGAGCGTCTTGGGGTATTTTTGGGAGCTTTCCGGGCGCTTCTTCGGGGCTTCTCGGCGCCTCCTGGAGCCACTTAGGGTTCAAAGCTTGGAACTCGATGGTGGCTTTCCTCCTCTGGGGCCCTCTCGGGCCCGTCTTGGGCACTCTCTTGGGCCGTCTTGGGCCCTTCGTGGGCCGTCCTGGAGCTCTCTGGAGCTGTATTGGGGCCCTCTGGGGCGCGTCCTCGGCCGGACCGACAGCGAAAACAAACAATATGTTAAAAAATACGTTTTACGAGGGGAATGAAGCTATTTTGGCCCCTTGGGGCTCTGTTTGGGGCCCTATTGGGGGTCGCTTGGGGTGTCTTGGGGGCTTCTGAAGTCGCCTTGGAGGAGACCATGTTGGGCGTCTGGGAGCGACCTTCGGGCGTCCCAGGTCTGTTCTGGAGCCTCTTGGGGCCTCCTTGGTGCCTTCTGGCGGTCTTCTGTGAGGCCCCGGGGCTCCCCGAGGGCCCCGGAACCCACATTTGCGGTAGCGGCGCCGGCCCCGGGCGCCCGGACCCGGTGCGCCATTATATGTGTGTGTATATATATATATACACAGAATTACCATCATGTTGCAAGGTCCTATTCTTATACTCTATTACCCGGTATCCCCCCTAAGCCGCCCCCCCCCCTCAGGGACGCCGTGGGCGCCCTTTCGCAAAGTCCAAGGGGCTTTCTGGCCAGTTGGGAGCTCCTGCCGAGCGTTGCCCACAAGCTCCAAACGGTCCAGCAGGCGGCCAAAGATACAAATGCCAGCGCCTCATGAAGCCAAAATCGCCCCATTCCATTTGGGAAACGTGTGTGCGCGTTCATCTCTTTCGCTTGCGCGGACGGAACGCCGCCGAGAACCACCAGAGCCCCACGAGGTCCCAAAAGGCCCAGAGAGAGAGAGACGAGTCGACTTCACATTTCGGTCCCCCCCGCTTCTAGCTCACCCCAAGATGCCCCGAACAAAAACCCCACGACGCTACAAGGCGCCCCTGGAAGGCCCAAGGCGGGCCTTCGAACAAACCCTCAAAGGCACCCAACTCCTTCTGAACGCCTCTTCGACGGCCCCGGACTGGCTTCCAACTGACTTCCCAAGAGACGCCCCGATGCACGCTGCGGTGACCCTTGGCCATGTAGAGCCCTTCCCGTAACTGGGACTGAACCGAAGGCCTGCCTGAGCAACTTGCCCATGATCAGCAGGTCGTCGCTCGCGTCGGCGACGAGGAAGTCCACCGTCGCCTTGATGCCCTCCTGCGTCGTCATTCTTGCACCACGTAGTCCTGCCCTGGGTAGAAGTCTCTACTGAACGTCGAACAGCCTCGGCGCGTCGACTGCACAGTTCACTGGAGACTCTGGGACGAACTTGCGCCTGCAGAGGTGGTCACCGCTCCCGCTAACGATCAAGATGGAACCGCCGACCTTCGCCACATGCCCGTCCTGCGCCGCCGGGACCGCGAAGACTCAGCCATCGAGCGTGCCGTCGTAGCTGCCAACCGCTGCTCGCACGTGGCCTCCTGCTGGGTCCGCTAGCGCGGGCAGCTCCTCTTGGACCGCTCGCGCGCAGCCCGCGCCGTGATCCTTCTTCGCGTCGTCGGCCTCCTTCTTCCCGCAGTCCGCCCGCTTGTGACCCCAATTGCCGCAGTAGCCGCGCTCGCCGTCGAAGTACTCCGTGGGACCAGCTCCCCGCCCAGCCGCGCCACCGTTTCGGTTCTTATTCTTAGTTTGCGAATCCTTGCCCTTCGGGAACTTGCCAACCTTGCCGCCAGCCTTGTCCGTCTTGTCCATTTTGCTTGTCTGGCCCCCAGCCGTGCCGCTGAAGGGTCCGACACCACGTGCCGTGTCCACTTGCATGGGCACGACGCCGGCACTGTCTGGAGTGCGCGTGAAGCTGCGTCCCTGGTTATAGTGGCCTCAGCTGTGATTCCGAGCCGCTGCGAAAGTGAGTTTGACCTCCTCTGGGGCCTGTCGGAGAACCTCGCGATACGGCTCGGGCGGGCGCTCCAATAGCACGCTGACTCGTACGTTGTCCGAAACTGCTTCACCGCTCTAGTCCACATACTCTGCTACGATCGCCTCCCGCGCCGTGGGAGCATGGAACAAGTCGGTGCCCGACTCCCTGTCCTTCGCCCACTTGTCCTGGGAGTTCAGGATGAACCGAACCGTTGCCGTCAACCTGTTGCCTGTCCTGCTTTCGTGCTCGATCTTGCATTGCCGCCATGCTTCCAGCCTGCTATTGCGAGCGAGCTTGACTACTCCCATGGCCCTGCCGTCCCACCACGTTATCAGCAATTGCCACAACCGCGTGCTGACCTGCTTCGCTCGGTCGCCGAGCGCGTCATTCAACAGCGGGTCCCTGCGCAGCGTCGCCTCCGTCATCAGGCCCTCGAGGTCGAACAGCGCTGTGTAGGCCTCGAATCGGATACTCCACTCTCCCCCTTTCTCATCTGTGCCGCCGAAGCTGGAACCGCATGTCCGTGCGCACGTCGAGCACATCGACCGCCGCGCTCGGCTCCGCGGCGGCCCAAGGAAGGGTGCGGACGCGGTGGCGCGCGAGCTCAGCTCTCGTGGGCCTGGGAACCGAGCTCCACTACCATGTAGCGATATTGATTGATGGCTGTATCATGCTTGGGCCAACACAGGGCTACGGTGCACGCTATGATGTCCGCGCATGGATCTCTCTTCTGCCCGTGGGTGGTCTCCAACCCCAGCAAATACACTGCACAACAAGAACGGCGGGGAAATGGCGAAGGAGGCTGCCTCCGGGAAAGGGGCAAGAGCTCCGGGAAAGGGGGAATAGCAGGGAAAGGGGGAGAGGAAAAGGACGGAGCATCGATATATCTGAGGGGACTGCTCGGAAGGAGATGGGGGAGGAGGGAGATGAGTGACATGAGGGAAATGATCGAGTGGAGGGAGACGAGGGAAGAGGAAGGAGAGTGGAAGGAAAGGAGGGAGGAATGCGGAAAAGGGAAAGGGCAGAGGTATTGGTGATGAGATGGGGACGAGTGCTAACCGATGCCCTAGATTTAATCAGCCCTTGCTGCGATCTGGTTCGATCTCGCCCTGGCACGGACAACGGCGAGAACGATCGGGGCAGCGTTTCTTATGCGCGCTGGCCACGCGGTGGCATGGGCGCAGCTGCAATCGAGTACATCAAGAGCATGGGGAGACAAACCGCACTGGGGCGATCGTTGCATCACGGATCGGCTGAGCCCTGAGCCTCCGTGACGCTCGGGATGGTGGCCCGTGTCGGCCAGGGGAACGTCGACGCTGCCTCGCAGGCAGCGTCTCCGCCCAGGGGAGGGGCCGCATTAGAGTGGCCATGGCGGGCGAACATGCGGCAAGAGAAGGACGAGCAGGAGATGGAGGGGAACAGAGGACGGGCGAGTAGCGACATGAGCAGGAGCAACAGAAAGATGGTGGGGGGTGAAAGCGAGAAGGGGCAAGAGGATGCGGAGCTGGATGGGGAGGCGCGGAAAGCGGAGGAGGGGGAGGGTGACGGCATCTGTGCATTCTCGATGTGTGATGCACTGTGGCTTTGAGCTGGACAGCGGGGCAGCTTTGTGCAGCGGCTTCGGTGGTTGAACCACAAACTGGACAGACACTTACAGTCGGGGCATTGACCTTTGGAGCCTTGAATATGGAATGAGGCTCCCTTTTTCCATCAGTTCAACTTCGATTTCCCATGGAGAACCTAAGGCGAACTGCCAAACAACTATGGAACACTGAGCCCCTCCCAAACGAAAAGGGTTCCTTCTTCACCGCCCCGACTGCACATGGTGACACAATCCACCAGATCCGAGCTCAACCTTAAAAAAAGATCCCGACTGTAGCAAGGGAGATGAAGCCCGCCCTAGGAGTATGTACCTTTGATAGCTCTGGCCAGCGAAGATGCCCCAGTATGGACCGAAGTGGCAAAGATGACAGGGTGATGCTCGTTGACTGTAAGTCGTCAGCAGCCGAGGTCGAAACTGGCCTTACATATGCTGCCTGGGATTTCGAATTAACAACTGGTCCCTCTGGCGCCGTGATCTGGGTGATCGGATCGGCGGAAATCGGCGGCCGAGTCGGGAAAAATCGAATCGGCGAAAATCGGCAGGCTGGTATGCCTCCACAAAGAAATGTGAAACCAAATCGGAATCCCAAATCGAATCAAATCGGAATCGGAAACCATCGAAATCGAATCGAATCGAATCGGAGGAGTCGAAATGAGCCCTGCTTTGGCGGCAGCGGATGTGAGCTGCAAATTGCGAAGTCGAGGCGGCCAGGAGGCGGCCAAGGGCGGCATCGCGGCGAAACCTCGCCGGACCCACCCAGCGCACGAGGCGGCCCTGGGCGGCGACGTGGAAAATCCTCGCCAGACCTATATCTATATCTAAATTTGCGTATATCCGCCACCGTGTCCTTGAGGCACGCCTGAGGATTGTTGTTTTGCCCTGACCCAAAATGGACAACTCTTCTGGGGCTACCCGCGTGCCCCCTTGGGCGCGTCGCATCCAGTCGCGTGACTTTCCCGGCCCAAGAGGGCCCCAACAGGCCCCCAAGACAGTTCAAGAGGGTCCCGAATCGCCGAACAATCGGTCCCAGACGGCCAAGATGACCTTCAGTCGGCCGTGAAATCTTCCAAGACGCCCCAAGCGACCTCCAAGAGAACCTTCCCAAGATGCCCCCGAGAAGTCCAACTCATTGTTTTCCACTGGTTTCTCAATAGTTTGGGGGGTTCTCAACTTTTCGAGCTTCCGACGCTCCAAGACGTCCCAAGAGGCTCTCAAGGCCACCTCAAGACGGCCTCAGACGCCCCCTAAATGGCTCCAAGATGACCCAAGAGGGCCCCAAGACGGCCCAAGAATCGTCCAAGACGGACCCAAGAGGGGGAACACGAAGCGAAACTCCGAGCTCTCCGCCCCGAGAGGCCCTAGGAGGCCCAAGGAGTCCCCTAAGAGGCCCCCACGAGGCCCCAAGAGGCCCAACAGAGGCCTCAAAACAGCCGCCCAGAGGCTTCAGAACTGCCTCCAGGAGGCCCCCGAGAGGCCTCGACGAGATCCCAACGAACACCCAACAGGCCTCAGGCCCAATCCAGGCACGGTGGCGGCCACGAGACATGTATATACTTGTTTGGCGCACGGTATCTCAAGACGGAGTCACATAGGTGTCCTACAGGACGCCCACGGTGCCCAATCAATAATGTCCACACCTATGGCGTGAAGACAACACAAACCTTTCAAAGTTGAAGTGCCCACGGTCTGCCCCTCGCATGTTTCCTTGCGCCGATCCCGCCAACGTTGGGTTGGGAAGGCGGGGGCCACAGATATTTGCTTGATGTACTTTGATATCGCGTTGTATTAGCGTGACGGTTGCGAACATTTTTAGTCCGCCCGCCGAACAGCATCTCTTGGACTTCTGCGGGACTCCCATAGAAGTCCGATGGCACTCCTACGGGGCTCCTGTGGGATTCCTACAGGGCCACTGTGAAAGAGCTCCCAGACCATTGCGCCAAAGTCCCCAGGCACCCCCCAACGCCCACCCGGGGCTCACTGGCGTTGTTGTTGATATTGTCACCGCGCAGTGCAGGATGCGTTCAATTTCCACTGGAAGAGGGGGAGGGCTTGCTTTGTAAGGCTAATTATACTTTCCAGCTCCTCTGGGGAGAATGGCTACGGAAGATGGGGGAGGGAAGAGGCCTCCGGGGCCTTCCGTGGAGCCCTCTATGGGGCCACGAACCGTGTGAGGAGTGCGCCAAGATGAAGCGGGGCCACCATGCGAACCCTGCCACTGGGGCCTTCGGTGGAGCCCTCTATGGGGCCACGAACCATGTGAGGGGTGCGCCAAAATGGGGCGGGGCCGCCATGCGAACCCTGCCACTGAGGCCTTCGATGACTCCCTATGGGGCCACGAACCGTGTGACGGGTGCGCCAAAATGGCGCGGGGCCGCCATGCGAACCCTTCCACTGGGGCTGTCGGTGGAGCTCCCTAGGGGGCCACGAACAATGTGATGGGTGCGCCAAAACGCGGTGCCGCCATGCGAACCCTGCCACTGGGGCCTTCGGTGGAGCTCCTTTATGGGGCCACGAACCGTGTGAGGGGTGCGCCAAAATGGCGCGGGGCCGCCATGCGAACCCTGCCACTGGGGCCTTCGGTGCAGCTCCCTATGGGGCCACGAACCGCGTGAGGGGTGCGTCAAAAGGCGGAGCCGCCATGCGAACCCTGCCACTGGGGCCTTCGGTGGAGCTCCCTATGGGGCCACGAACCGTGTGAGGGGTGCGCCAAAACGCGGGGCCACCATGCGAACCCTGCCACTGGGGCCTTCGGTGGAGCTCCCTATGGGGCCACGAACCGTGTGAGGGGTGCGCCAAAATGGCGCGGGGCCGCCATGCGAACACTGCCACTGGGGCCTTCGGTGCAGCTCCCTGTGGGGCCACGAAACGCTGTACTGGGTGGGTGAAACACAGGGAGGAGGGAGGAAGAAGAAGAGGAGGAGGAGGAGGAGGAGGAGGAGGAGGAGGAGGAGGAGGAGGAGGGGGAGGAGGGAAGGAAGGAAGGAAGGAAGGAAGGAAGGAAGGAAGGAAGGAAGGAAGGAAGGAAGGAAGGAAGGAGGAACGCGGGGCACCGTCTCTTCAAAGCGAAGACCCAACACCACAGGATGGTTGGGAAAAAGAGGGACAGGTGGATGGGAGGAGGATGAGGCAAGGAGGAAGAGGAGGAGCAGCAGCAGCGGAGGAAGACACGAGGACACGCTACAATCGGCCCGAAACAACATGGTAAGGACGTACTACGGTAGAGGGAAACAATTAGTGGACACTCCCCCGCTCCCCAAAACTCGAAGTTGGCACGCGCGGGGAAGACCGCGGTCGAACAGCAGCTCATTCAACCCACCGCCAACATTGATCATTTGGGGGGCATTGACAGATGAATGCGGTATGATAGCTCTCTAATTTCTTGTAAACTTTTTCCCCCCGCAGCCTGCGAACAGAGCCGAGAGCGCGGTGGCCGCGCAGAGGACTGGCAGGCAGGGCGCGGAAAAAGTTGCCCGCAGCTCTGTCGGTGGTTTAACGATGGGGTCCTGAGGGATGGGATCCTGGGTGGGGGAGCTCAAACCATGTGTTCGAATTGTCTTCGCCAGATGTAGGAAGGATTTGAGGGCGGATCTACCTTGTAGGCACCTCTGCGAGGTGGGGATTTATCCATATTTATCGCCTAGGGACCGACATCGTGGTGCCCTAGCAGGCAGTGTATGTGGATATATGTTGGCCCCCAGGGGCCCGAACATTTCCATACCCACCGCCTGTCGAAGTCCCCGAACATTGATCCTCCTGGCGGCGGTCGTGAATGACTCCCCGCCTCGGAACCTCGTCCTCGGAACCTCGTCCTCGGAACCTCGTCCTCGGCCTCGGAACCTCGTCCTCGGAACCCCATCTTTGAATCACCGGCTCTGGAGCACGGCTTAGGCCTGTACCGCCGAGCTCTCCGCCCGTGCGCGGCCGGAGGGCGACCTCGGGGAGCGCACCCAGGTGGGGCGGCCCCCCGAGGTGCGCGTGTGCGCGTGTGCGTGAGCGCGTGCGGGTCGCTCCCCGAGGGTCGGCCAGGACGCTGGTCCAGGTTTTGCAGCTCTCGGTCCCTCCCTCACCACCCCCCCACACACACACACACACGCCTCCTCGCCTTCACCTCGCTGCTACCCCCATTCTGCCTTCTCCTCCCCTTCCTCCTCCTCTTCCTCTTCTTCTTCTTCCTCCTCCTCCTCCTGCTCCTCCTCCTCCTCCTCCTCCTCCTCCTCCTCCTCCTCCTCCTCCTCCTCCTCCCCCTCCTCTACCTCCTCAGGCTGGAGCATGGAGAAAACAATCCACCGTCAGAGTCAGCACCCCGACAAGCGAAGCCACTTAGTGAACGCACCCGGGGAAGGCATCGAACAGGGCAGGCCTGTGCAGCAAACGCCCGCGGCCGTTCGGTAAACGCCGGCTGAACCGCCGGTGATCCCGGTCGGGGTGGCTTCTCCTCCCTTGATGGAGGGGGGAGGGGCAGGCGCGGGGTCTCCACGGCGGAGAGCGGAGGGGCACTCCCACCCGCACCGTGCGGGAGGCGAGGCAAGGAGGGCGCGGCAGGGGTGAGAGGATCACCCGGGTGACTCCAACCTAAGACCCATGGAGGCCCAACCGGAAAGAAAAAAAAAATGGGGCGCGCCGAAGAACCCAGGGGGTCCATTTTCCGCGGAGGAAAGAAAAAAACCCTGGCGATGGGGTTCGAGCACGGGGGTTACCCCCCCCTCAAATTCCGGAA